TTCCTGAATTGAATCCAGGTCAGAGGGACATATGGAGGCTTATATTTTATAATTTCGCCGAGGCCTTATCTAAACTCCTAAACAAAGAAACAATATTGTTTTGGGGTTTTTTCCATTTCAGTGTATTAGCAAAGATGTTTTAACTGACACGAATATCTAACACATCTTCAGTTTTGAGGCAATTAAATTTTATTGCACCATAAACTGTTTCATGTACAAGCCATATTTAGGGTATGTCTACATCTCAGCAACAGTCTGTCCTGTCAAGGATGTTTCCAAGCCTGCCCTACCACTCACTCCCTCTTGCAGGCTTCATACCTATTAGGCTGCTATGGGATCATCCCCAGTGGCCATTTTCAAGCATGCTGGAGACCCAGGTCTTGACAGCAACTGCAGGTGATGATCTAGAACAGGCTCACCAAAGTATTTCTGGGTGTAGTGTGTGCACGCAGGAACAGATTGTCAAGGCATAGTCATAAGCCTCCCAGCTGGGAACATTTCCCTCACTCTGACCCTCATCATGGCTTCATATTGCAATCTAGAAGTTTTACTTCTCTGGCTAATTCATGAAATTTAACATTAAGCCATATTCCAATAGTCCTGATGTGAACCTATATTTTACAGGACATAAGCACACCAGCCTTCTGCTTGGTGCCAAGCCACATGGCTGGCAGCTTCTTCAGTCATGTGGAATGGGCAGTTCTTCAGCTGGCCAATGCTGGCTCCAGGACCCCTAGCCTGACCCCAGGGGCCCCTGCCAGCTACTGCATGATCCCTGGGCACTGTGCCCCACCACTGCAGACATGTGCCAGGCAACACTGTCCCGCCAGACCCCAGCTCTGCCTCCCAGGGCTTCTGCCAGTTGCTGTGTGCCCCCTGGGCACCATACCCCACTGCTGGGGGCATGTGCTGGGTGCTGCAACCCCCTGGATCCTGGCTCTGACCTGCAGGGCCCCACCCAGCTGCTGCCTGCCACCTGGGCACTGTGCCCCACTGCTGGGGGCATGTGCCAGGCACTGCAGCCCCCCAGATTCCAGTTTCAACCCCCAAGAACCGTGCCAGGTAGAGCCTACCTCCCAGGCACCGTGCCTCATGCCAGCAGACACATGCTGCCCAACATTGCCACCCTGAGCCCCAGCCTGACCTCCCAAGGCCCCTGCCAGCACAAGACTGCCCCCCATACCTCCTTCCCTGCCAACCTGAAGCTGCCCTCCTGTCCCGCCTGCCAGCTCAGGGCTACCCCTGGAGCTCTCTTCCAGTCTAAGGCTGCCCCCCTGTGCCCTTTCCAGCCTGGTGCTGGCACCTAGGAAGCTGCTTCTGGAGCCTGGATCTCTCCCTGGCTGCTGCAGAGGGGTAGAGCAGGGTAAGACCAGCCCTGAACGAAGCTGCTCCTGTCGGGCTCAATTTGCTCCCAATTCAAATGCACATGTAGATGTGTGCCTGGGAGCAGTTTAATGCACCTGTATTTACTACACAGTCAATTCAGAGATATTAATTGTATGTTTAGACATGCCAACTGAGGCTAAAATCCAGCAGTAGTAAATGAAAATCACAAATACTTGGAAACCTCATTTGATCCTGACTTTTAAGATAGCAATACATGCCACACTGTTAAAATCAACCCACATCATAAGTTCAGGCTTTGGGAATGACCTCAGGAAGGAACCTCATTTTGTGTGTATCAAACTTGCTTCAGTGTCAGGGGCCACGTAATAAATTGATGGAGTACCTCCCTAATGATTTGCTTGCTGAAAAAAAATCAAGGCTTTACTAGCAATCAGGTCTGTCCTATGAAAAGGGATCCTAAGTTGTGAGTCTGGGAAGGGAAATAATGTTGGGTCTAGAGATAGTGAAACTCTTGCCTTGCATGTGGATCTTCCCTGAGATAAGAACTGTGAATATTGTCCTTAAATGCTAATGTTGAGTCTGTTAACCTAAATCTGAAGGAGAACACCTGTGAGTGTTCCTCAATAAATCCATCTGAATCCTGGTTTAAATTGTATAACCGTCTTCTCTTCACAGATGCTAAAATGTATCTATCAGGCAAAGAACACAATCAAAAAGGGTATCCTATGAATGACTCCGGTTTCAGTCTTGACAATATCTCCATACTAGTTGGTTTTAATAGGTGCCCAGACTTCTGGACACATCCTCTTAGGCAGGGTTTGGATTGGGGCCAAATAAAGTGAAATATTTTTTTCAGTCCTTACAACTCTGGAATTCCATCCCAAGAACAAATAATTACATATTAGATATGTATGAGAATAAAAAAGGGATATTGCATCATTTATTTTCCTTCTTTGCAGGGAGCAGCCTGATAGCAAAAAGATTGGTTTTAGCAGCGAAAACCTTTTGCTTCGTGGATGTACAATCAGAAACACTGAAGTCGCAATAGGAATTGTTATCTATGCAGGTAAAAAAAATACTTTTCATCTAGCTAAGTTTGTCTTTGGATAACTTCAAGTGAATATGTATAGTCTAACACTGAGCCATAATCTTGCATTTTGCTTTAAGAAGTAGTAGTCCACAGGCAAAATGTAGCTTGCTAAAATGGAGGCACTGGCCATTTATTTCTAAAGTTGCTGTATCATTCAACTCAGTCCCTGGTGCCTAATAGTAAATAGGCAGATGATTTGACTTGTGAGCTGAATTTTGATGTCCTGCAGCAGTTACTCAAATTGCCAGACAGAGTGAAGAAAAGATAAAATGCTGTGTTCCATATCCCATCTCATTCCTTAGCTTCTCTTATTCCTTGGAGTCTCACAACAGCAGAGACTCCCTATGCCTGAAGAAGGGTGATTGTGCCCAAAAACTTGCTAAGAACCAAAAATCCATATCCCATCTCTGAATTCAGAATAGCAAGTAAGCAGGGCCACATAGAGAAATAACTTTTATTTATACAAATATGTATACTAACTGTGAAGACATTGGTACCCAGATCTGCAGCAGAAACCATAAGGTGCATAGGTGCTGTTAGGCCTGCTCTTTCTGAGCTAAAAGCTGGTGCATCAGAAGTGATTCTCCTGAGCTCTAGAGGAACAGTAACTGTGCTTACCCCACAGACTTACTGACCTTTTGAGACACCATTCACCTCCTGAGTTATTCATTTATGTCTCTGGCTCTCTCTTTGTGTTGGTGGGCTGTGTTCTTTTCTAGCACAGATTACCAAACTCCATTACTCCAAACTCCATTACTTCCCTCCTAGAAATCACTTAAAAAAAATAGCAGGGAGCCATTCCCACTGAAGTTCTTTTAGGAACCGGAGTCCAATTTTTCATGTTTAGCCCAGTCAATTCTCAGTATGGTCCTCTGGCCACTTGTACAGACTTTACATTTCTTCTCATCGCTGGTCTCTTCACTGCTTACTCCACTAATCATGAAGGTTACAGTCTCAAATTCATTCTTGAATCACAGTGACTTTGACCCAAGCATATCTTCAATATGATTTTTCAGCTGAGGCCTAACTGTTAATGTCAGTGTAAAAGTTGATTCCCTTTTCCTTCTAAAATTAGATTCATCTGAGCCAGCACTTGTTTCATTTCTGGGACTCATTGACATTGATTATACTTTAGCTTTCAGTCATGATCCATAACCTTTTCTGAGCCACCCTTAGCAGTCACATTATATAACGGCACATTTTCCATTTGTATAAGTCTATTACCCCTTAAACTTCCTTTTTAATAGAGGCTTCTGCCTTGTGGAACAGTCTTTTAGTGTGATTGCTTAGCCTGCATGACACATGTGGCTGCACGTTTCATGTCTGTGTAAATGATTAACTGTGAGGCAGCTGTGCTAAGAGTAAAGTGCATGCAGGTCTTTTTGCAGAAGCTTTGGGCTAGACCAGGGGTGCTCAGCCACCAGCTTAGGGGTCAAATGCAGCCTGCAGAGCCATCACATCTGGCCTGCATTGCTCCCCAGGGATCAGGAATTTGGCAGAAGAGAGCAGTGGCCATTAGAACCATAAACTCGTACAAAATTAGGGTTGAAAGGGACTTCAGGAGCTCATCTAGTTCAACCTCCTGCTCAAAACAGAACCAACTGTATCATCCCAGCCAAGACTTTGTCTAGCAGGGTTTTCTAAACCTCCAAGGATGAAGATTCTTCAATCTCTATGGGTAACCTGTTCCAGTGCTTTACTACCCTCTTAGTGAGAAAGTTTTTCCTAATATCCAACCTAAATTATATTGCTGCAACTCAAGACCATTGCTTCTTGTTCTGTCATCTTCCATGACTGAAAACAGTCTAGTCCCATCCTCTGTGTAATGATCCTTCAGGTAGCTGAAGACTGCTATTAAATCCTGTCAGTCTTTTCTTCTGCAAACTAAATGAGCCCAGTTCTCTCAGCCTCTTCTTATAAGTCATGTGCCCCAACTCCCTAAACATTTTTGTTGCCCTCTGCTGGATTCTCTTCAATTTGTCTGCATCCTTCCTGTAGTAGGGGGTCCAAACTGGACACAGTACTCCAGATGTGTCCTTGCCAGTGCCAAATAGAGTAATCACTTCCCTCAATTTACTAGCAGTACTCCTATTAATGCAGCCCAGTATGCCATTAGTCTTCTTTGCAACAAGGGCACACTTGTGGCTCATATTCAGCTTATTGTCCACTGTAACCCCCCGGGTCCCTTTCTGCAGAGCTGCTGCTTAGCCTCTCAGTTCCCAGCCTGTACAGGAGCATGGGGTTGTTCTGTCCTAACTGCAGAGCGGCTGCTTAGCCTCTCAGTTCCCAGCCTGTACAGGAGCATGGGGTTGTTCTGTCCTAAGTGCAGGACTTTACATTTCTCCTTGTTGAACCTTATGAGATTTCATTTAGTCCAATCTCTGATTTGTTGAGGTCTCTCTGAATCCTAGCCCTATCCTCCAGTATATTTACTACTTCCCCCCAGCTTCGTGTCATCCACAAACTTCCTGAGAGTGCACTCAATCCCATCTTCCAGGTCATTGATGAAGATATTGAATAAAACTAGCCCCAGGGCCAGTCCCTGGGGCACTCCACTTGATACCGGCTGCCAAATAGATGTCAAACCATTGACTACTATCCCCTGAGCCCAATGATCCAGCCAATATTCTATCTACCTTTTAGACCACTCATCTAATCCATACTTCCTTAGCTTGCTTGCAAGAATGTTGTGAGAGACCATATTAGAAGCCTTGCTGTAGTCAAGATATATCTTGTCCACTGGGGCTGTGCGAAGCTTCAATCACTGGTTCGATTCGCCAGAGATTTGGCCCAATTTGATGGCCAAATCTCCAAATGCTAATTGAATTGGGAGACCCTTTAATCTCTCTGAAGTGAATCATAACCCTCCAAATCAATTCAGGCAGATTTGGAAAGATTTGGTGATTCAGACATAGACACAGCTTTAAATGTTTTTTCTACATACCTCAAGGTACCAGGTGGCTCGTGAATGCTGTGATGCTGAAGTGGATAAAGTGTCCCACAGGAGTGCAAGGGGCTCCCCAGCACACTCAGCAGCAGACCCAGAAGTGGACCAGAAGCACTTTTGGTCCACTTCCGGGTCCGCCGGGGAGCACACCGGGGTCCCCCTCCATTGCCCCTTCCTCTGGTTCAGCAACTGGTGCCTCCTTGGTCTGGGGGGGCCCTCAGCATGCTCCCCAGCAGACCCAGAAGTGGACCAGAAATACTTCTGGTCCACTTCTGGGTTCACCACCAAGCACACGGTGGGGTGGGGGGGGGGTGCCCATGCTCCTGTAGGACGCTCCGTCTGCCCCACCATTGCAGCATTCATGAGCTGCACCTGGTACCTTGAGATATGAAGAAAAAACATTTAAAGCTGTGTCTATGGCTGAATCACTGATTCTCCGAATCAGCATCAAATCTTCAGATTCAGATTCAGCTGAATGAATTGGGGACAGCGATACTAATCAACTAATCAAATCACTGTCCCTGATTCAAGTCAAATCCAAATTGAACACAGCCCATTTCACATGCCCCTAATGTCCACTGCTCTTCCCACATCCACAAAGCCAGTTATCTCAGCATAGAAGGCAATCATATTGGTCAGGTATGACTTGTCCTTGGTGAATCCATGCTGACTGTTGCTAATCACCACCTTCTCCTCCACGTGCTTAGAAATGAATTCTTTGAGGAACTGTTCCATGATTTTTCCAGGGACTGAGGTGAGCAGTAGGTCAGGAAGACCATGGCCCCTGGTTGGCCTCTTCAACACTCTCCAAAAACTTCCTGGATTGCCTGTGCACTGCTGTATTGCCCTCCCAGCAGATGCCAGGGTGATTGAAGCAGTGGCATACCATGGGTCTCTGGCACCCGGGGGCCAATACTTGCAATTGCGCACCCCCCCATCTGTGGCCGACCGCTGAGTGGGGGGTGCTCCCCCAGTGGCCAATAGCCGAGCCCAGAAACACTGGTGGTGGAACCAGAAGTGCTGGCAGTGAAACTGGAAGTGCCAGCAGGGGACCAAGCACCCTCTAGAGGGCCCAGCCAGCGGCCCCTCCACCGAGGCCGGCACCCAGGGCCTCCCCCCCACCCCCTCCATTGGTATGCCACTGGATTGACGTCTTCCATGATAATCAGGGCCTGTGATTAGGAAACTTCAGTTAGCTGTTTAAAGGAAGCCTCATCTACCTTGTCTGGTGGTCTATAGCAGGCACCCACTGCATCATCACCCTTGTTGATCTGCCCTCTGACCCTAACCCAAAGACTTCCAACAAGACTATCTCCAATTTCATGCTGGACCATGAGCAATCATACAACTCCTTTACATAAAGTACAACTATTCCTCCTCTTCTCCCCTCCCTGTCCTTCCTGAACAGTTTATAGTCATCCATGACAATGCTCTGGTCATGTGAGCTATTCCACCAAGTCTCTGTTATTCCACTCACATCCTAGTTCAGTGACTGTGTGAGGACTTCCAGTTTTTCCTGCTAGTTTCCCAGGCATTCCATGTTAATGCAGCCACCCTCCGGTCTGCCAAATTCCCAAGCCCCACATGCCCAGTTGGTGCTAGGCCAGGCTGCAACCCCTTCCCCTGTGGGGGCCACCTCCCACCCTGGCTTCTGGATCAGAGTTGAGGCACAGCCCCCACCCTCCCTTTGGGGCTAGGTTGGAGCCTGGCCACACCACTTTCCCTTTCTGTAGGGCCAGGTCAAGCTCCTTTCCCCAGCAGGGCTATGTTGAGGCTAGCTTGCCCCTGCCCCCCTCCACATGGCTAGATAGTAGGATGCGCAAAGCAGGCCATATTCGATTCAGATTTGGCCTGATTCAGGGGACAGTGATTCAATTTGTGGATTCAGATCACTGTCCCAATTAGACTTGGTCACATCCGAATCTAAAGATGTAATACTAATAGAGAGAATCAGTGATTCGGCCATAGACACAGCTTTAAATGTTTTTTCTACATACCTCGAGGTACCAGGAGCATTGGAAGGGCTCCCGCATGCTCAGCGGCAGACCTGGAAGTGGACCAGAAGTATTTCCAGTCCATTTCTGGGTTCACCGCCAAGCGCACAGGGGACCCGCCTCCCACCCCCTGCACCTCCCCAGCTTGGTAATCAGCTGTGGGAGGACCCCAGGTGTCACAGGCCAGCTGGGCACTGTGAGTATATCAATTTAGCCACTAGGCTGTTTGGTTCGGGATTGAGGAGGCAGAGTTGGGAGTAAAGCAAAGGCAAAGTTATTATAGCTTACACACACACAACAGTTAACAAAAAGATAAATGCAATAAGCAAATAATGCAGTATTAAAGAGCTAATAGTAAATAATAACAACAGATAGATAGATCAATCTCTCACAGGCTAGCAGAGCACTGTGAGGGTATCAGCCACTGGCTGTTTAAAACAACAAATAGACATGGGTTGGCAACTTATCGATAGTCCCTCAATGCCAGGTACGCGCCAGGTGATTTCAGCAAAGTCAGGCATCCCTGATCGACGCTGTCCGAGGGATTACCAGGGAAAATCCCTTGATCAGGATCCAATCCTCACTCACACCGGGAGTCCGGAGTCCGGGCTTGGAACAGCAATTACCGTCCTATTCCCTCCTTCCTGTTGATCACCTGACGCACACACTTTTTATACCTAGTTTTATGCTAATCTGTTGGTTTTAGAGCCATTCACAATTTTGTTCTCTAGCTGTTACCCTATGGGATTAAAAGGTGTTAAAAATTATTATAAAAGGTTACTACCCAGATTTGGGTTTATCCAATAAGCAAATTGCAACACAGCATCTTTAGGTTTGAAATTAACATTACTCCACCTAAATCCAACCCCTTTAAAACTCTCTGACTACGCTTTTTTGAGATGTGCTTTTCTGGAATGTGCTGGGTAGGCCAGACAGTTGAATCCAGTTTTTATTATCATCAAGGCTAAATTCTGAGCAAGAAAAAACCATTAAGTCAGCTAATCTTACAACTATAGCTGTCTTTGAGGCCTAGTTAGTTCCACAAACAGTTACAAGTTACATTTGCGGGTTACAAAAATACAAGCTTTATATTAGACAAAAATTCCAAATGGCTCTAAGAAGCACATATTTATTGCTTATTAATTTCTTTGGTTCTAGCCGCCACACCCAGGTGCCCCCTCAAACCCAGGAGGCACCAGTCGCTGGGCTGGGGAGTGGGGGGAGGGTCCCCTGCACACTCTGCGGCAAATAGTACCCACTCTACCAAATAGTACCCACTAAGCACTAGATTGGGAGCACCAACTTGATCCTGCCTGTGGACAGACCAGGCACTACCAATCTGGCCCACTGGACCAAAGGATTAGACCATAAGATGTGCTATTCTGATAACAATGGTGAGCTGCAACCTGAGTGGAGTGTCCCCACAACTGAGAGGATAGTGGAAGGAAGAACAGAGACTTCACCCCAGTGGCTAAGAAGAATGGAGGATGGATTCCTCGTCTGTCCAATGGCTAGAAAGTGAGAGAAATCAATACTTGCTTGCCATACCCAAGACATAAATGACATATTGAGCTAAACGGTATATATGGAAGGGTCAAAGAGTAGTGGAATTTATTTTAGCTAGTTTTACTTGGTCTCTAGCTTTTTGTTTTAGCCTGCCACAAGGTGATGTCTGCATTCAACCTGTGTGAATGGATAGTTTTTAATTTATTCTTGATTAAAAAACAAACAAAAAAAATGTTTAGCTTAAAACGTCGTGTTTGATCCCAAATAAAACATTATGCTAAACTAAAGTTCCCCTTGCCCCCCTGTGAACCAGCCAGCCCTCCCCAACCCCGCATCCCACAAGCCATTCTGGGTGCCGCTAGATTTATTAACGTTTTTCACTGCCAGAGCTGAGGAAGTAAGTATCAGTCAGGGCAAAGGCAGGAGGGATGAGGGAGTCTGGTCACTGGGAGGGTTGGGGGGGGCCAAAAATATCCCCTGGTCGCCCCACAAACCTCCCTCTCAACCCTGTGAGCTCCCCTAAACCCGTCAGACCCTCCTTAACCCCAACAATCCCCCATGGATCGAGCCTGTCCCTAAATCCCCACAATTACTCCTGCAGATCCCATTTGCCCCCTGTTTCCCCCATAGACCCCTGGTTTCCCCCCCACTGATTCCCCCAACCCTTGCCTGCTAGCCCTGTTCATCCTGACTTTACTTAAATGGATGGCCATTTTGAACACGGTGTAACATCCCATTAAGCTCCCCAAACATCTGCACTTAGCCTTTATCCCCAGGGAAGATGAATGAAGAAATAAACATACATGACATGGTTTAATGCCCTGCAGGAAGTTATTCAGACATCACAATGAAGGGTAGAATATAAGAAAATGATTAGAATAGAAAAAGTGGGCTCTATGAGTAGGTTTTTAATACCAGTCCCTTATTTCCATTACAAATGTAGTAATTTGATTCTAATTTAATAAGCCTATTTTTTTCTGTCCTACTGTGTTGCTGGCACTTTACATTCACACAGTGAGAGCTAAGTGACATTCAGATCTTTCATTGCAGGATCTGACACACTGGATTTTCTTTATGTTAAAGCAGAAAATGTGGGTAGCAACTTCTAATTAAGCCAATTTAACCGCTGAGAAATATTAAGTAGTTTTAGAAATCAGTAGGACCACCTAATCAAGTGATTAATATTCTATAAAAATATAGATTGCTTACTTTACACCCATTTCATCTCAACTATATAGCAGTATGAAGAAAGTGCATATATCTTTCACCACAGTTTCAAATACTGGTGCAAACCTCCTTAGCCTGCTGACTTGGCTCTCTTTGCAGGAGTAAGATGTAGAGGACAGCTGAAATTGGTAATGTAACAGGTTTTTTTGTGATCTTTTCGACCCAGTTTCTAATACCTGAAACACTTTACTCTAATGAAATGTTTACCTCCACCAAAAAGATGTATTTTGGAAATTCTGGAAGAACTTTCTTTTTTGGAAATTTTCCGACTTCAGTCTTTCACTTCCTCCATAACAGGATCAGGGTTGCCACCAATGAAGCACACTTGCCACTCTCATTCAGTACCAACCAAATGCCATGAATGAAGTAATATAGCCTCCATAAAGAAGCACTGAGAACATGTAAATAAGCACACCTGAAAAGGACTGCCTAAAATTACCACTGCATACATACCAAGAGTTGCTTTACTGTAGCTACATTGCATGAAAGAGTGGGTCCCCTCAAAGTGGCTGTGTGTGGGCAGAGCATACACTGTTTGTGGCACTGTGGGGATCAGCCTGTAGGCGATGCAGACAAGTCCTTAGAATCTGTGTTTTGCATTTGCATTTACGAATACCCTATCTGTGCATATGTGTGTGTGTGTGTGTGCGTGCGCATGTGTTGATAGAAGCGTATGTGTATAGCTATAGCTATAAATAAATGGAAATATAACTATATTCATAGCTAAGGCTACACTATGATTTGCAATTTAAAGTAGGATGTGAACCTATCCACATTGTTTAATTGTGTGCTGTTAACTACAGATGCGCCTTAACTCTGCTAACGTAGTAGGTTTCTAGGCATAAGCAGAACTTTGATCATGGTGTAACCTCGTAAGCAATGCACAAATGTTTCAACTTAAGTTTAATTTTCGAAACAGCAGTTGAGATGCTATGTAACAGGCTAGGGACCCACAGCTGTGGTTTACAAGTGTCCTGCTATAATGTGTCTTCTATGCCTATGGTATTATAACCTGCTCCTTCCCAACAAGTAATAGCAAGTATAGAAGACAGAAAAGCACTTATCCTTCTGCCATGCCCCTCCAGCTGTTGCACCACTTACTACTGAAACCTTCCACTAGGGCAGGGGTACTCAACCCCAGGCCCATGGGCCAGCCCCAGCCCTCAATACTGTGTAATCCAGCTCATGGGGCTGTTAGCTGTGGCATGTAGGGTGGGGCAGGGGTCCAGTCCCAATGTCACAGGGCCCTGGAGCCTGATCCTGGTGTCCAGAGTCAGGCAGATGTGGCACAGAGCCCTGGAGCTGGATGCTGGGGTGGTGCAGGTTCCAGTCTAGCCCATGGACCAGCCCTGTATCACTACTCTGACCTGCAGGGCCAAAAGATTGAGAGTCACTGCACTGGGGCATTCTTGGAGTCAAATGAAGATTGTGGAAGCACCAGGATATGACTATTAGACATGGTTCTTATTTCTGACAAGGTTAGAAGCAGTGGGGGGGTTTTAAACTAATTAAATGAAACTGTTTCTATTTGTGTTTTGAAGGTCATGAAACGAAGGCCATGCTAAATAACAGTGGCCCTCGTTACAAACGCAGCAAGATAGAGCGACGGATGAACATGGATATTTTCTTCTGTGTGGGACTCCTGTTCATTATGTGTCTGATTGGAGCACTTGGTATGCAATAACAATGCAAATCGCAGCTTCTATTTGATGTGCTGTTATACTTTGTGGTGATTTAAGGTTTGTTTTTATGATGGATGTGAGTGATGTCAAAGTTGGTCTGAACACCCTTTACTCTGGCAAACCTCAACTTTCTTCATTCAAACTTCAGTGGTGAATTACAGGCAAATTGAAATTAAAATACCAAACCTGCATAATCCAGGTGTGAGAGGAAATTCTGCTCTGAGTAGAAATTTTTCAGGTCAGATTCATCTTTGATTCCAGTATGACTTGCTAGATTACTAATCACAGAAGCTGTTACCTTCATTACTTTGCAACACATTGCATGACAGGCTTCCTTCCAGTTTTGATTATCTATATTGTATCAATCAGCCCAGGTTCTTGAAATGTTGATGAAGAAAGTTTAAGTCTCAAGAGTTTTCCAGGAGCCACTCCTTTAGTGACTAGAAAGGCGGTGCTTCTTTTGTGGTCTCTAAGCATTTTCACTAAACTTGATCAGAGCCAACATTCCCAAAGTGCTGCTGCTGGGGTGGGATTTCATGCATGCAGAGTTGTATTGCACAGCACCTGTAAAGTTTTCTAGAGGTTGGCCTGGAGAATTGTTATGTGATAGACCAGAAAGCCATCAGATTACTACTTTTAGAAGTAAACGAGCATCAGCAAAGAGGAATCTACTTCAGTTGAACAATAAAACTGATGTAATCACTTCTTAATTTTTTTGCTTCATGTTGCAGTGGCTCATAAATGGGATTTCAATTTGACAATCAAGTTCTTCGTGAGAGACAGAGACTTTATTTTCATTGTTCCTAGGTCACTGTCCTACAGATCTAGACACTTGTCTTTTGTCACACTGATGTGAATAGTAACATCCTTTGATACAAGGCTTGATATGTGGTCCAAGATGCAAGAAGAAATAAACATTTAAAGACTATTTTATTTGCTCACATTTAACAAAAAGGTAGACAAAACATAAAACACTCTT